TTTGATACTTTTATTAGCTTGTGAATATTGACTTGTGGATGTAATTGGTTGAATTATGTTAAGTTTATTTTGAATTTTTAATGATTGATGCTTTGATTTTTTTAAATTTTTCATATAGGTTATATATTTATATTTTTTTAATGTATAAAATCGGGTCAACAAAGTGACCCCGATACCCCTCGATTGATCCTGTGACCCCTAACCTCAGCCGAATTGATGACCGAACCAGGTTTTTAAACACTGGTTCAAACGTAACCTCGAAGGTTTCATCATTAATACCTCATCGGCTCATCGCTATCCATTTCTATTTGTGGGCCTTTTAAGCATGTATTGAGTGTTCGACTCTTTGGAGAGATTCATCCTACGTACGCATAACTTGTCTTTTCTTTTCTTTTTTCAATGAAGCATAACTTGTTGTCTTCCATCTTATTTGAGGGGCAATATTCTTTTCATCTTCAAAACACTACGAGAAAAAATCTTATTAGTGTCGCAAATTTCGTCATTACATATGAAATTTCGTCTCAAATTTCTGAGTCGCAAATTTATTTGTGACGAAATTTGATTATTTGTGTCGAAAATTGTCATTTGTGACAAAATTTGTGACGAAAATTTTTGTCACAAATAAACTTTTTTCTTGTAGTGAAATGTGAATCCATTAACTAGTTTCATACACACCTAGGTCCTCCACATATCATACCTTAAGAGACCCATAAATAAAAGAAGTTCTAATAATAAATCGTGAAACGATAGCACATGTCAATATATCAAATAACTATAAAATTGCTCAGTAATTGAATTGTAGTGTAACATATATCACCATTATGAATTACAATACGCCAATCTTTTGTATGATTCAAAACAACTTGTGTATGTGATTCTGTAGCTAAATATATATCACTTGTCGTCTATATGGTTTGGAATATTTTATATACTACTGTTACGTATTGGTTGTCTGTTTCATCAGCAGATTAATTTATGTAAAAATAATGTTAAATTTGCACACCATTTTTTTTGTACAATCTGATATAACTTAATTTTTAGATAATAAAATAAGAAAACACACATTTTAATATATTTTATTTTTGACTCATAAAAGGGTGTAAAATGATGTAACAATTGTCGTGTCCAAATTAATAACAAAATTGTTTATTTAACCATTTGCATCCTATACCATAAACTAGTCGTTTTCTTTCTTTTGTGTGTACCCATATTCTATTTTACTCTTTTCTTCTATTCACGTGAAATATTCCCAATTGGGAAGTGCAAAGCTGAAGATATTAACAACAAAATTGTTTATTTAACCATTTGTGCATCTACCATAAACTTGTCCTTTTCTTTCTTTTGGATGTATCCATTTTTTACTCTTTTCTTTTATTCACGTGAAATATTCCCAATTGGGAAGGATAGAATTGAATAATTAAATTAATGACTAAATATAAGCACCAATTTTGTTTTTGGTATAAACGTGTAAGCTCAAATAGTGATCTTATATACATTCATGTACTTCACTTCTGCCGTCAAGCTAGTCCAGGGTTTACAAAAGGCTGTCTTTATAAAGACAAGTAAAATTACTAGGAGAAAACTTCGTAACTTAAT